CCCAGCCGCTCGGGCTCCGCGATGGCCGCGCGCCCCTTCCAGCTCCCAGATCCCGGTGCGCTCCGCGACCTCTGCCGGCCTCGATGTCCCCTCGAAGGTCCCTAGGAACGGGACCTCGCCGGGACGGGCTGCGGGGCGCCCTGGGGCGTCCACCGGGCCCGGGACCCTCCCAGGGCTCCCGCCTGCAGATGGAGGGGTCTCCAGGCTTGAGGACGATGCGGGGACCCGGTACCACCGGACGGAGGGCGCTCTTCCACTTACATGGGCTGTTTCAAAGGTTGGGGAAGAGGAACGTGACAGCCATGGGGGTCCCTGGAGGGACTCGCAGCCCCGAAAATGGGCACACTTTCCCGGGAAAGAGCAGGTCCAGAGTAGCGTCTCCGACAGGTCCCTGGTGCCAAGGCCTCCGCACCACTGCCCTGGGGCGTCTGCAGCGCCCCCCACCCCCAGTTGCAACAGCTTGTAGGGAAACTTGCCGGTGGTTCCTTCCCTGCCCCATCCCTTTCTGTGCCAGGAGAGAGCCTCACTTCCCATCACCCCTCAGGGCCTCACTTCCCATCACCCCTCAGGGCTCGCTGCGAAGGTCTCCAGCTAGCAGGGTCATCAGCTGGGGCCCGGGTCCTCCTGTGGAATGTGGGGTCGAGGAGGAGACCACAGAGGCCGAGCTCAGTCCTGGCTGCTTGGAGATGATGCAGTGGGCGACATCCATACACTGTCCCCCGAAGGGAGTGGAGACATCCCAGGAAGGGTCCCCCAGTACCCGCTGCTCTCCTCCCTCCTCCCCCCTCCCTCCTCCCCCTCTCTTTAAACTGCCTGTTTTTATTTGCTGGGGACTGTGCCAGGGAGACGCCAGGTGCCAAAAGGGAGGCACAGGGCAGCCTGTGTCTGCAGCAAGCTGGGTCTACTCTGCTTTATGGCCAGTCTGGTGGCCCGGCACATGCCTGCCTGGTCTTGGGGCACTGAGCAGTTGGCCTCCTTTGGCAAGGGCAGGAGGATCTGTATTTCTTTGTTATGTTTTTGCCACTTTTTTTTTTTTTTTGTACTGAGGATCAAACTCGGGTCCTTGTGCTTGCGAGGCAGGCAACAGAACCACTGAGCTAAATCTCCGGGCCCTCCTTGTTATGTTTTAGGGATTTAAAAATTTTTTTAAACTGTGGGTGAGCCAGGCATGGTGCAGCATGCCTGCAATCCTAGCACTCAGGAGGCTGAGGCAGGAGGTTTACCCTAAGTTCAAGGCCAGCCTGGACTACATAGTGAGTTCAAGGCCAGCCTGAATTACGTATGGAGACCCTGTCTCAAAAAACCAAAACAAGAGCTGGGGATTTAGCTCAGTGGTTCCACCGCCTGGCTCGAAAGCAGAAGGAGCGGAGTTTGATCCCCGGTACCAAAACAAAACTCAAAACCCAAAAGCGTCTCCACGTGCTGGTGCACACATGCTCTTCCCTGGTTGAGGGTGTGTGGAGCTGGGGCTTGAACCCTGTGCCCATGTGTGCTAGGCGGGGCTCTGCCACTCAGCTGCACCCCAGCTCCAGAATGGTTTTCATCTGCCACTGTTTAAGCCCGGATGTGGAACTGGCCGTGCAGGGCGTGGTCACACTTATCATCCAGCATGGCAGCGCCGCTGCTCTGGACTCCATCCTCCCAGCTACACCTCTGCACCTCTACACTGTTGCTCTGCCTCCCCCCACCCCACCATGCTTTTTTTTTTTATGATACTGGGAGTCGAACCCAGGGGATTCACACAGGCTAAGTACGTCGTGCTCTATTCCTGAGTGTGCCCCTCCCAGCTACACCTCTGCACCTCTACACTGTTGCTCTGCCTCCCCCCGCCCCACCATGCTTTTTTTTTTTATGATACTGGGAGTCGAACCCAGGGGATTCACACAGGCTAAGTACGTCGTGCTCTATTCCTGAGTGTGCCCCTACTTCGTTCTTATTTTACTTAGAGATTGAATCTCCCTAAGTTGCCCAGGCTGGCCTTGAAATTTCAGTCCTCCTGCCTCAGCCACTGGAGTGCGTGGGATAACAGGCCTGCATCACACCTGGCTCTCTATGCTACTTTTTGTCTGACTTTTCCAGTCCTGGGTACCTGGTGTACAACCGAGCATAGAGGGACGTGAGACCACTCACATAAGCAGAACCCCATGGTCCTTGTCTTTTCTGTGATTGACTTTTTTTTTTTTGGTACCGGGGATTTAACTCAGGACCTTGCACTTTCGAGGCAGGCGCTGGAGCCACTGAGCTAAACTCCCGGCCCTATGATTGACTTCTCTCTCTCTCTCTCCCTCTCTCCCTCTCTCTCTCTGTCTCTCTCTCCCTCTCTCCCTCTCTCTCTCCTCTCCCTCTCCCTCCCTCCCTCTCTCCCTCTGCCTCTCTCTCTCTTCTCTCTCTCTTTTAGTACTGGAGGTCAAACTTAGGACCCTGCCCTTGCCAGACAGGCACAGTGCCACTGAGCTACATCCCTGGCTATCGACTTCTCTTAGTGTCATATCTTCATTCATGCTGCATCATGTGTCAGAATTCCCTCCCTTTTTAGAGCCGAATAATATTCCATGCCACAGATGGGCACATTTCTGTGTGTCCATCATCCATTGATCAGCAGGGGTCGCTCCACCTTTTGACTATGGTGAATGACACTGCTGTGAACATGGGCGTCCAAATGTCTATTTCCGTCTTCTGGATTTGCGCGGAGGAGCTGAATTGTTGGCCCACACAGTGGTTGTGTTTGGGAACGGCCCAATTGCAGTGGGGGCGGTGGAGCCTGTGTCTGTCCTGTTCTTACCCAGGGTCCCCCGAGTCCTCCAGCTGCAGCCTGAACCCTCGCTTCCTCCCTCCCTCACAGACCTAGCATGCCTTCGGAGACACCCCAGGAGGAAAGTGGGGCTTCGGGATGCCCGCACCTCTCCAAGGAGCGCCTGTGGATCCCGCCGGATGCCCCGAGCAGGTGCACCTGGCACCTGGGCAGGCCTGGCACCGACTCCCCGCATCACCACACCGGCCTGTGAGTCTCTGACCATGCAGTGGTCAATCCGCACCCGCACCAGGGGGACACAGGGTGGAGACCCCTTGGGTCCCAAGGTTGCCCGGAGCACCTTAGAGACCTGGCAGGCTCAGAGGCTGAGGCCCCAGCTGGTGCCCAGCAGGAGCACGGGCCGCTTAGGAAGCCCTCGGTGAATGAGCTGGCAGAGGTGTCCGAGCCCGGGCCTTCCTCTCACAACCTCGCGAGGCGGGCTGTGCCCCAGAGCTGCCTCTTGCTTCTCTTCATGACTGGTCAGGTCTGAGCGCTGCCGGCCGTTGCCCTGGCCCAGGCCAGAGGCACGGGGCGGCTCTGTCCCCGGCCTCAGTCCAGGGCAGTCACTGAGGTGCAGGCACAGCAGGACCAGAGGTGGCCCCACACCGGATGCGGAGGCCAGAGGACTGGGCTTGCCAGCAACGACCTTCTGGGGAGAGGAACTGGGTCTGTTTGGTCGATGTTTGTACTGGGGAATGATTTTAATGCAACATTGACCACATTATATTTGGGGTGTTTTTGTGGTACTAGGGATTGGACACAGGACCTTAGAATCAGGCTACAGCCCCAGCTCTTTTTTATATCTTTTTGTTTGTCTTTTTTTTTGTTTGTCTTTTGAGGCAGGGTCTTGCTGTGTAATGCATACCTTGAATGTAGTGCTGGCCTTGAAATCACTATGTAGCCCAGGCTGGCCTCAAACTTCCAGCAATCCACTTGTCTCAGCTTCTCAAGTGCTGGGATTATAGCCCTGCACCACCAGGTCTAGCTTATCATTTTTATCTTGAGACAGGGTCTCACTATGTGTGTGTTTAGGTGTGTTTACTGAGTCACTTTCCCTTGTGTGGGTTTGTGCGACCACCCAGATCCCTTCTTAGAGACAGTTGATTCTTAGTTTTAAAAAATGCATGTGTTCTGCCAAAGCTTATCACTTTGTTCGCTTCCTGTGTCTTGTGGACTCCTCTCTGTTGTAGGGCAGAATCTCCAAAAATTTTGCCAGATATTCTGAGCAACATCGGGAACACCCCAATGGTCAGAATCAACAAGATCGGGAAGAATGCGGGCCTCAAGTGCGAGCTCTGTGAGTGGCAGGCGGCTCCTCCTCTTCCGGGCGGGGGGTGGGGGCTAGGTCAGGGCCTGGGGGTGTCTGGAAGAGCCATTCACAGTTCCCAAGACCACACTGCCAAGGTTCCTCGTGGGAGGAAAAAGCTGGGTGGCCCAGCCGGGCGGGGCTGGCCCGGGGCGAAGATCTTCAGAGCCCTGGTCTGGGGCAGCTCCCGTCACTGAGCCCCCGAGCCCCCCTCGGAGCCCCAGGCTCCCGAGGATCAGGGAGAAGAGAGGGACAGGGACTTGGTTTGGGACGGGTTTACCCCGGAGTTCTGTGGGACAGAGCGGCGCCCCTGGAGTGGGGGTCAGGTGAGGGCCCAGGGCTTGAGGGCGTCGAGGTCCTGGCCCTGGGAACTTGGAGATCGCGGGAGGGGCCATGAGGCCCGGCTGGGCTGTCCTCTTCTCCCTCCCGGGGTGGGGTCTCTGAAGAAGGGGAGGGAGCGGCCCCTCGGGTGACACCCTCGGCAGAGGATGAAGGCAGCAGCAGACGCCTGGGCTGGGGCTGTGCACCCACCTTCCTGACAGACTGGCCCAGGCTCCGTGGTTTCATTGCCAGTTAGGATGCCGTCCCTGGGGGGTGCGGCAGGGCCATGCACACACCACTGCTGCCTGGTTCTGCGAAAGTCTGGTGGTTTTCAGAAAGAAGGACAAAGCCAGGTGGGGTGGCACACGCCTGTAATCCCAGCACTGTGGATGGAGGCTGAGACAGAAGGACCTCGAGTGAAAGCCCAGCCTAGGCAATTTAGGGATTTACTAAAACCGCGACTGAGATTAAAATAAAATAAAAAGGGCTGGGGATGTAGCTCAGTGGGGGGGTCCTCCAGGACCTGGAGCCTGGAGCCGGCCTGGCTGGCCTCTGGGCTCCAATCTGGCTGCCCCTGCAAGCCCTTCCCGAGACCATCCCCACCCGGGACACGTCTTCCTGGGCATCCACCAGGTGGGGGCTCCCGGGCTGCCGGACGGCTGTCGGCGGCACTCGGCTTCGGGCGCGGGGGGCAGAGCCGGGCACGGGGTCAGCTCCCTCGTCCCTGAGTCACTCCTTGCTCCCAGTGGCCAAGTGTGAGTTCTTCAACGCGGGCGGGAGCGTGAAGGACCGCATCAGCCTGCGGATGGTGGAGGATGCCGAGCGGGACGGGACCCTGAAGCCCGGGGACACCATCATCGAGCCGACGTCCGGGAACACAGGTGTGCGGTCGGGCGGCTGGTTCCGAAGCGCGGCTTCTGCCTGGGGACACGGGGCGCGGGCGTGGCCCTCTCACCTTTCGTGTGCTTCCGCAGGGATCGGGCTGGCGCTGGCCGCGGCCGTGAAGGGCTATCGCTGCATCATCGTGATGCCGGAGAAGATGAGCTTGGAGAAGGTGGGCGGGCCGGGCCTGGCTGGGCGAGGGTGGGGCGGGGCCTGGCTGGGGCTGGAGCTGATTGGGATATGGCAAGGGCGGGGCCTGGCTGGGGATGGAGCTGATTGGAGGATGGTGAGGGCGGGGCAGGGCGGGGCCTGACTAAATTTGGCGCCGGCCACCCGCAGGTGGACGTGCTGCGGGCCCTGGGCGCCGAGATCGTGCGGACCCCCACCAACGCCAGGTTCGACTCCCCCGAGTCGCACGTGGGGGTGGCTTGGCGGCTGAAGAACGAGATCCCCAACTCTCACATACTGGATCAGGTGAAGCCCGGTGCCAGGCGCCGGATTGCGCTCTCGTGGCGCTTTCCGGGGCGGCCTGCGGGGACTTGGGGGAATCCAGGCCAGTACTTGGGCTGGGCTCAGTGGGCTCGGGTGGGGTGGCCCCTGCCTTGCTCCGTCCACCCGTGGTTAATCCAGGACTTACGGGCCCTGGAGCGCTGGTCCTGAGGTCACCCGGGTGGCCAGCCTGCTCCCCCCGGGCCGTCGGGGTCCTCCCGAGTGCTCACTGTTTCCCAGGTGGCCCTGCGGCTGCTGCTGCTGTCTCCCATGCCTCGCCCCTTTGCTCTTCCTGCACAGTACCGCAATGCCAGCAACCCCCTGATGCACTACGACACCACGGCTGAGGAGATCTTGCAGCAGTGTGGGGGTGTGTGTTCCTCTTACCCCTCTGCCCAGGGATGCTTGGCTGCCTGGGAGCGTCAACCTCTTCACCCTCCAAAACCCAGCTCAAATGTCCCTCTCTGTGAAATGGTGTCGAGAGCAGTTTCCTCCTTACTTTGTGCCCTCTTGGCCTCCACCTGTGCCTTAGTGACACAGACACCTGCTGGGGCTGTTTGTCTACTCCCTAGTCCATCCCCCAGCTGCTGCAGGTCCAGGACCTGGCAGGTACTGGCCTGGGATCCACCTTGCTGAGTGGATCCTGCTCCACGTGGTACAGTCCAACTTCTGGGGGTGGTGACAGCTCCGTGAGCGTACCTCCCGTACCCTCCTGTACCCCCTGTACCCTCTGTACCCTCCTGTACCCCCTGTACCCTCCCGTACCCTCCCGTACCCTCCCGTACACTCCTGTACCTTCACAAGACTCCCTGAGCATGTGCTACTGCCAGCCCTGCAGGGGCATCACTTGCCGGGAGGGTGGCTCCTTGGCCTCCTGCTGGAGTCTGCTGTTGGCCCGCCAGGTTCCCGGGCAGCAGCAGCCTGTCTTGGTGCAGGGCACTGCCCGCCTCAGACTTGCCTGCCCGGTGCTGGAGCTGACCCCGAAGCTCAAGCTCAAGCCAGAGCCTGTGATGAGTCTGAACTTGGTCCCCTGCCTGGGTGTGGCGTGTTTGCACCCAGAGGCACCCAGTGCTCTGTGCTGCCTGGGCTGGCCTGAGCACGCTCTCCCTCTGCCAGGGAAGCTGGACATGTTGGTGGCTTCAGTGGGCACAGGTGGAACCATCACGGGCATTGCCCGGAAGCTGAAGGAGAAGTGTCCCAGGTGCAAAGTGAGTAGCACCAGAGGGGGATTGGTTCAGTCTGAGATGGGGCCTGGGCTTGCTGGCTTTGTCACTGTGGCTTCCGCCATGCCCGGGGACACAGCAGCTCCTTGGCACCAGCCCCTGTTCAGAGCCAGAAGCCCCTCCTACTGTGTCTGCCCGGGTGGCACCAGGCTTGCTGAGGGGACCCAGCATCTCCCAGCACTGAGACCCACATGGGCCAGAGCTTCGCCCCGGGTCTGTCGGCCGGGGCCTGGGGAGTTGGAATGCCCTGGTTGGATGAGGGTAGGTCTGAGGAGGGGTGGCCTGTCTTCTCTCGGGACAGGACTGCCACCCTGCAGGAGAGGGTAGTGCCCAGGGCTGCCCTTGTCCTGAAGGCTCCTGCTGTCCTCCTGTGGGTGCCCTTCCCACGGGAGCCTGGGAGGTCGTTTGCATCCAGGGCTGGATGTGACCTCAGATCCGTCACCGGGCCTGGGCTCCCAGGTGCCTGCGCTGCCTCCAAGCCGGGGCCACCGCAGGAGGGGTGGGGACGTGAGTGGTGATGGCCAGACGCATCCTGGTGACATTCATCCCCAGAGTGAGCCCTAAAGCACCCACCCTGCAGATCATCGGGGTGGACCCCGAGGGCTCCATTCTGGCCGAGCCTGAGGAGCTGAACCGGACTGAGCAGACAGCCTATGAGGTGGAGGGCATCGGCTATGACTTCATCCCCACAGTGCTGGACCGGGCGGTAGGCTGGCAGAGGGCGAGGGCCGAGGCGGGTAGAAGTGGCTGCCTGGACGGAGGTCACCTAAGCGCCGGTCCTGCCCAGGTGGTGGACAAGTGGTTCAAGAGCAACGACGAGGAGGCCTTCATCTTTGCCCGCATGCTGATCGCACAGGAGGGGCTGCTGTGTGGTGAGTGCAGCCCTCGGGGACGCGAGGGGACAGCATGGCTCCAAGCCTCTCATCAGCGCAGGTCCCTACGGAGCCCGAGGCCTGTTGGGCTCAACCTCCCTGGCCCTGTGGATGAACAGGGTGGAGAGGCTCTGGCAGCTTGGCTTAGCTCTGGCTCACCTGGAAGACCACGCCAAATGCACCACGAAAGTGTCACATAGCCGCGCCTCTCTGTCGGGGAGCCTGGGGGGCAGGGGAGGGCTACACCCAAGCACCTGCTGAGAGAACTTCCAGAGCAGCGCTAGGGACAGGGAGCTGGTGCTCCATGGCGCCAGGCCTTCAGCAGCCTGTGCCCCCTTCAGAGGGACAGGCACCGGCCGGAAGGCTGCCACTCTGGTCCCCACACAGAGGGGCCATGCTCTCATGGCATGGAAGGTGGAACTTCACCCCTGCCCAGGCTGAGCCCCATGGGGCCCAGAGTGGCAGCTGCAGCGCCCTGCCTCGGGGTTGCTGGAACAGACCACAGGCGGTCCCCAGCACTCAGCTCAGGGACCCAGAAGCCCCCGGGCATTGCCTGGCGCCGGGGGGGCCCCCCCGTGGCTCTCCAGGCCTCCATGTTCCCCTGGGGACCCGGGAGACTAGATGTGGAAGGGATGGGTCCTCCCGGGCCAGTGCCCCGCAGGCCCTTGGAGAGCAGGTTCAGGCGTGCACTGTGGACATGTGTGCACTGCTCGCACGCACCTGTGCTTGCATGTGGATGCACACTCCAGCGCACACACTGGCAAGTCTGACAGAAGGCCCTTCGGGCAGGTGGCAGTTCTGGCAGTGCCATGGCTGTGGCCGTGAAAGCCGCCCGGGAGCTGCAGGAGGGTCAGCGCTGCGTGGTCATCCTGCCCGACTCGGTGCGGAACTACATGTAAGGCGCCCTGGGCTGAGGTGGCTGCCACACAGCCTCCCCTGAGCCCTAGCGGGAAGCCGGGTGGAAAGCCGGAGCGGGATTGCTGGCCTGCCCCGCCCCAACACAGGCCTCGCAGAGGTGCCGGTGCGTGTCCACCTGCCATCCCTCGGGAGGACTGCCATGGTGCCAGGCCCGCTGCCCTCCTGCCCCAGTCTCTGGCCCGCCGTTCCCCTGAGCTCCCAGCTGTGTCACTGTCCTCAGCCCTCCTGCCTGCTGCCCGCCTGCCCCAGAGAAGCTAGGGGACAGCTCCAGCCAGGGTCCCTCAGGACTCGCTGTCACACACGTTTGTGACACACACTGAGGTCTGGACCCGGGGGACAGGCTGCCCCGTCCCTCCCTGGGCTGATTCCCACGTCCCCGGCCCCACTGGGAAGCCACCGTGCGCCAGCCTCTAAGGCATGGGGTGGGGCGGGGCCCCAAGCCCCTGCCCTCCCCCACCTGTATCTGTGCTGCCCTGCTGGCCAGGCTGGCAGTGGGTGCCCACACTTGGCTTCCCAGGCCAGGAGACTCTTCTGGGTGCCCCTGCCAGGCCTCCTGGCCACACTGGAGAAAACTCCTCTCCCCTGTGTGCTTGGCTGGCCTGCTGCGTGGGCCACAAAGCCATGGGCAAAAGGAGGGGGCAGGTGGGAGGCCCCAGGGAACCTCGCCTGCAGCAGCCTCTGGAAACAGCTCCCAGGCCCAGGCCCGGTGGACAGGAAGCTCACTGGCCACAGCTCCTGGTCAGGTCTCTCTGGAGCCCGTCCCGGACCCCCAGGACCCAGCCCCCCATGGGCACACAGCTTGGCAGCCCTTGTTGGGCTGCAGTGACTCCCTGATTCCCCAGGTCCAAGTTCCTAAGTGACAAATGGATGCTGCAGAAGGGCTTCATGAAGGAGGAGGAGGTCGCGGTGAAGAGGCCCTGGTGAGCGGCTGGGGGGTCGCTGTGTGTGCTGTTCCATGCCCAGCTGCCTGCTCAGCCCCGCCCGGCCTCTCCTGCAGGTGGTGGCACCTGCAGGTCCAGGAGCTGAGCCTGTCGGCCCCGCTGACAGTGCTGCCCACCGTCACCCTCGAGCACACCATCGCCATTCTGCGTGAGAAGGGCTTCGACCAGGTGCCCGTGGTCGACGAATCGGGGTCAGTGCCAGCCACCGCTGCCCTCTGCAGCTCTGTCCTTGGCTGCCCGGAGCTGGACCCTCTGTTTTGGTGACCTGGGCAGCTCAGGCCCGGAGTCCCCATGGACACCTTCCATACAAGGCCCAAGACCTTGGCCCTGGACTGCAGCAGGTGGGAGGGGCTGCGTTAGCTCTGAGCCCCCAGACTCTGCCAGGTGGCAGAGGACAGGCACCCCGCGGGTGTCACCGGGGAGGCCACGGCACCTCCGCCCGAGACTCGAGGGCTTGCTCTCCCCCGCTCCGTACCCTGCACACTCGCTGGATTCTGGGGAGCCCTGTGCTGGCTGGGACCCCGCAGGCTGACCCTGGCTCCCTGTCCCCCCCCCCCTCTGCTCCCAGGGCCATCCTGGGCATGGTGACCCTCGGCAACATGCTGTCCTCTCTGCTCGCCGGGAAGGTGCGGCCGGCCGACCAGGTCTGCAGGGTCCTCTACAGGCAGTTCAAGCCGGTACGGTGCTGTCCCGCTGGGGCCCTGGGACTCCCGGCAAGGAGCAGCCCCGGGGGCTGCCTCACCGCTGCTGCTGTCGCCTGGGTCCCCTCCCCACAGAGCAGTGCCTGCTCTCCCCCAAGCATGCTCTCATTGGCCCACGCTGGGCATTCTGGGAAAGGCCAATGCCGCCCTGTGCAGTCCCGGGCGGGCATGTCGAGTCCCCTCTCCTGGGCCAGGCATCACCTGGCATCTGTCCCCAGCAGGCCGAATGAGTGGAAAGGTGGTGTCACAACGGGTTGGGCCCAAATCTAGTAATGAATCGGACTCTTCCTCACCTCACGCATACACTGCAAATGTCACCAGCCCCCTTGCAGTTCCCCATTCATGCCCCTACAGGGCCCTTGGTGCCTCTACCTCCCTGTGGCTGGAGAGACTGGGGCAGTGCAGCTGGGGTCCTGTCCTCCTGCTGAGCCATCTGCCTGGAGGGAACCCCAGTCCCCCTGCCCCAGCCCTGGCCCTCCACCCACCGGCCGCTGCACCCCTCTCTGGCCCACCTGGTGGTGGGGGTGACAGCCCCCAGCCCATTGCTGCAGGTCTCAGCCCACCCAGGCCCTCTGTCCCCTCCCAGAGTGGACACCGAGGCTGCAGGGGCCTTGGGATTCTTGGAGACTTTATTCCCTGCTGCGGGGGAGGCTGTTCTCCTCCCTGGCAGCTCTGGCCCACGCCATGCCCACCATGTCTCTGGGAGCTTCCTTCCTTCCCTCCCTTCCGAGGCGTACTGTACACTATGACCATATCGTGTGGAAGCATGATGGCTTTGACATAAACATGCCGGTCGCCCTGGAGGCTTCCTCATCCCCTTGGGAGCCCTCGCCCCATCTGCAGGCAGCGACTGCCCTACCTCCTGTCACTGTGGACCTTGCATGCGCAGGCTGTACGAGACTGCCTCTGGGAGGGTGTGGCCAGCCTGGGGACCCTTGAGATGCGTGCGTGAGGGCTTTCCTGGGACCGGTCCCTGTGTCCTGTCCTGCAGGGCCTCGGAGGGCAGCCCTGTGCTCCCCAAGCCACCTGCCCGCCCTGCTGGCTTTGCCTTGACTGAGTCACGGTGCAGCAGTGGGACAGCCGGGCTCTCTCACCGAAGTGTGTTCAGGGCTTGTCCTGCCCTGTGGTCATCCAAGCTTGTTACGGGGTGCTGAGCCCCACGTCTCATGTCCGGTCCTCCTGATGTGCTGGGTTGCTTTCTGGGGAGGGCCTGGTGGGGGAGGCTGCAGGTGCGGCTCGGGCTGCAGTGAGCAGGCGCTAATGCAGCTCCCCTGCAGGTCCACCTGACGGACACACTGGGCATGCTGTCGCACGTCCTGGAGATAGACCACTTCGCCCTGGTGGTCCACAAGCAGATCCAGTGTGAGTGACAGTGAGGCGCACGCTGGGTTCTCACTGGGGACAGGGCCTTGCCACGGCAGCAGCCAGGCTGCATCCTCCAGGGCGGCAGGGAGCTGGGGAATGGGTGGCACTGACCTCCCACCCCCTGGGGCGGGGCTGCTGGTCTGAAGTGCCCAGGCCCAGGTGTTCTGGACCGAAGCCTCTAGGTGACAGCAGTCTCCGGACTATGGGGCAGTCCCAGGGGAGCCTGAAGTGTCCCCATGCCCCGGGAGAGCTGTGATGGTGCCACTCTCCTGGCCCCCACCCCGCAGGCCGTCAGGGCCACCGTGCCCGGCCTCACTCAGGTGCCCGCTCCCTGCCAGCTCCTGGCTCTTTAACTGTAGCTCTCGAACCCCTCCCTGGTGTCCATTGGTGGGGAGAGTCCCCCACGCGTTGTGACAAAGGGAGAGGAGCACAAGTGTCCGTCCCTGGCCCAGGGCCTGTCCCCGAAGCCTGCCCAGCAACCTCTCTGGGGCAGCCCCGTGCCTAACCCTCTCCCGTCCTTGGCTCTACAGCACGGGACCGGCCCGGGGCAGGCGTGGTGGGGGGGCCTGCAGGTACGTACCCCTCGGCTCACCTCTCAGGCAGGGGTCAGGAAAGGCATGCAGGACTCCCACCGTGTGGGGCGCTCCTGTGTCTCCACGTGCTTACACAGGGTGGGCACAGTATGCAGTGAATGCAGAGCATTACAGTAAAAGGCGCACAGCCTCAAATCCCCCTCAGAGTCCTCCCCCGGCTTAGAACACTTCCCCTTGTCCTGGCCACTTCCTGCAGCAGCTCTGGAGTCCTCTTTCCTGGGTGTCTTCACGAGTTGTGATAAAAAATATGGTGAATGTGGCTGCTGAGCACCATCCAACGGAAAGGCAGCTCGTAAACACGTGACGCTGTGTCCTCTGCCACCTTAGTCACTGCTTCTGGCACTGTGTGACTTCCGGCTCTTCCCCAGAGTCAAAATGACCGTGACAGGGAAAGGTTTTGAATCCATTCAGGAAGTAGAGGCAGCCATGAGCACTCATGAGACTCGGGCAGAGCTGCGGGTTGCTGCGCTCAGGTCCCTGACCCATGCAGATCTCATCTCGCCTCCGCAGGCAGACGTCTGAGCTCCCTGTGGCCTGGAGGGATCGCCGGTCCTGGGCCCCCACAGTGACCGTGCTTGGCCACTCTGGGAAGGTGGACCCTGGGGACAGTTGGGGCTCTGCCTGCGACAGGCCTGGCTGGGGCGCACATGCAGCCGCAGGTCCTTTACACAGCGGCCTCGGTTCCTCCACAGACCACAGTGATGGTGAGCCCAATGCACGGCAGATGGTGTTCGGCGTCGTCACCGCCATCGACCTGCTCAACTTCGTGGCCAACCGTGAGCAGGACAAGAAGTGACAGCTGAAGCCCTGAGTCTGACTCCACCCACCCTGGACACACAGCTGGCACCTGGGTTGTCCAGGGTGGGACCGGCAGGCTCAGTCCCCTTCCTAACATGAGCTTCCAAAACAGATTTGCTTGTATGGGTTTCAAGGGGCTTTTAAGGTGACTTCCTACAAGATACTTCACCAAGGGGGTGTTGAGAGAGGAATTGGGCCCATGCCTGTGGGGAGGCTGAGGCAGGAGGGTTCCAAGTTCCAGGTCAGCCTGGGTGATACACTGAGACTTTGTCTCAGAATAAAAAACACAAAGGCCGGGGTGTATCTCAGTAGAGCACTTTCGGGTGATCCCCAGTAGCTCCCAAACCCCCCAAAAAGGTGGCCAGGTGGGATACGCACCCAGAGATGAGCAGTGGAGAGGACCTCCAGCTGAGCAGATTCCAGAATGGGGGACGGCAGGAGGGGGCCGTGAGCCAGGACCAGCTTGGTCCCTGTCTTCGGGGGCTGTGCTGTCCCCTGGGGCTGAGTGGGCGGAGCAGCCTCAGGTTTGGATTGCAACTCAGGTGAAATCCACATAACCTAAAACTAACAGCGGCACAGCGAGCAGGATGGGTGTTTAGTACACGCAGAATGCCAGAGTCACCCCTCTGGCCTGCAGCTGATGAGATGAGGGCCACCATGCCAGCCCCTGACCCTGCTGACCACACTCCCCAGCTGGTTTCTGCCTCTGAGTTTGCCTGTTCCGGGCATTTCTTATAAACGGAGTCACAGCCCATGGCCCGTGTCTGGCTGTCTCCCTCTGCGGGATGTGTCTGCATCAGTACCTCGTTCCTCTCTGTGGGGATAGTCGGGGGTGCGGACGCACACATTGTTTTCCTGCTGGCCGCTGCTGAGGACATCCCGTGTCTGTCCTGGCTTCACTGTGGTCTCCACTCACACTTCTCCAGGTGTTAACCGTGCTCATGGGCTTGTTCGTTGTCTGCATGCTTGGGAAAAAGTTTTCAGTTGGGGTGCTGGGTTGTAAGGGTTCTTTGCATATCCTGGGCCCTCAACTCTTAACAAGGTAGGGGATTTGTGAGGATTTTCTCCCACTCAAAGTTCTCTTCACTTTCTTGACAGTGTTCTCTGAAGCGCAGTTTTAAATTTTGGCAAAGTCAAAATTTGCCTCCCTTTTCTTCCAGCTGCCCTTGCTTTCTGGGCTCCAACTGAGGCCCTGGAAACGCTGCCCGGGGTTTGTGAACTTAGCTCACTGATCCGCTGAGTTACTCCGTGTGCGGCTGGCGCATGTCGCAGATGCTGCTGTGCAGACCTGGGCCACTTGCCTCGCACTGTCTGTGGAGGAGACTTCTCTGTCCCCACTAAGTGGCTCTGTCCCCGCTGCAGGTGTCTGGGCTTGTTCCGGCACTCAGTTCTCTTCTGCGTGCCAGTCCTGCATGCTTTCAAACACAGCTTTGCGGGGTGTTTTGAAACTGGCAAGTGTGAGTCTCCAGCTCTGCTTTTTCAGTGCTGCCTTGGAAAGCCAGATGTGGTGGTGCCCGCCTGTAATCCCAGCACTTGGAAGGCCGAGGCAGGAGGACTGCCATGAGTTTCAGGCCACCCTGGGCAACATAGTGAGCTGAAGTCCGGGCTGAACCACACAGGGAGACCCCGTCTCACAAAACCGAAAAAGGAAAAGCGTCCGTCACCCAAACCACAGGTCTCTGCCAAGACGTGTGGATGATGGCGGGACCGGAGCTTGGGAGGTGTGGGTTTCGTGCCCCTGCCAAGCCTGCCTGGCTGCTGTGGCAGCTGCATGGGCCAGGGCCTCCCTGAGAGGAGTGCACTGTTGCACAGGTCTGGGCCCTGGCAGGGCTGGTGCCTCCCAAGGCTGCTGGGGGAAGGTGTTCAAGACCTCCCCAGGGTTGCTGGCTGGGCCAGTGTTCCCTGACCTGACATCTCCCCTCTTCATCTGTCTAAACTACTTTTGGCTTTTTAAGACAAGGTTTCACTATGTAGTTCAGGCTGGCCTCGAACTTGTGGTGATCCTCCCGCCTCAGCCTGCCAAGTGTTAGGATTACAGGCCTGCACCACCACACCCGGCTAGCCCTGCCTTTTTAATTTGCAAATGACTCCTTTTCATGAGGCACGCCCCCCCCCCCCCCAGCATATGAGGGTTCCTTGCACAGAGCAGCCTTCCAGTGTCAGGGCTTGGGAGACCAACAAGCCTTGTACCCTGAACCCCATCTGGTTTGGACTTGAATCCCAGCCTGGCACAGGTCCTGACAGCTCTTGAGCGAGCTCCCAAGTTTACACATCAGAGGTGAGCTGCATGGCACAGGGGTTTGCCATCACACTGGGTGTGGTCAGGACCCGCCCCACGACAGCGTGGGTCACTGGTGGAGGGATGGCTGTCCTCCCCGTTTCTTGTCCTTTGTCTCCTCCTGGTGGGACCGCTCTGCAGTGTCCTCCATGCGTGCAGTGTGGGGTGGAGGACAGAAGCTGCAAAGCAACCCGCCTGGCACCCAGGGCCCCTCCTGGCGTCCTGCTCCCATGATGGAGAAAGGGGACCCGCCACCTGGGCATCTCAGAGCAGTCCTGACAGCTCAGCTCTGAAAGTGTGCTTTGCAATGGAGCCTAAGTGACCATTCCCCTGTGTGGAGCTACGCCTGGCACTGGCCCTCTGCACAGAGGGACTCGGAGGCTGTGGCAGAGGGTTGTGGCTGAGCTGTGCCCGGCCAGGCTTCCTTCCTGGGGCTTCTCAGGCTTTCCTGTGCTAATGAGCACCCTGGAGCACAACTTAGTTCTGCTGCAAGTCAGTGAAAACCCCAGATGCCAGCAACTCCCTGTTAGCGATGTTTATTCCTCCCCCTGGCGGGGGGGCAGGGCACAGGTCTATCAGCAGCAGAAGCCTAAGACCTTCCTGCCTTGCTGCTCCTCCATCCTCAACACAGGCCTCTACCTACCCCACCTCCTGACCCAAAGAGGCTGCTTGAGCACCAGCCCCACCTGCATTCCAGTGGACACGCAGGGTGGGGTGAAGCCTCTTTCTGCACACTCCCGAGGCCACACCAGCTCTTCTACATGCAGCACCTCTGGCTGACCCGGCTGCCGCCCTCATACAAGACTTGGGGACTTGGGAGCAGGCCACAGCTGCCAGGCCTCTGTCAGGGCACCAGGGCCTGGCTTGAAATCGGGTGTGCCTCTGGTCCCCAGGAAAGGGCGGGGTCCTGACACTATGGGGAAGATCCCTGCACACCCCCTAAATGTCCTTCGTGACAGAAGCTCAGCTGGTGCACAGGCCCTGGTGGGGCAGCCACACCACAGGAAGGAGGAGCCTCTCCTGCAGGGTCCCAAGGCCCTGGCCAGCTGGTGCACTGGAGGGAAGCACTCTCAGGTGCTACATGTGCCCATTCTGTGTAGACTCGGATGGGCATGGGGGCACGGAGTTGTGCAGTCCACAACCTGCCCGCTCAGCCATGGCAGCCCGGACTCCAGATGAGGGTGACTGCAGTGTCCTCGCCTCAGCCCTGCAGCCACTTCCAGTGTAACCCCGGTTGGTTGTGGCTTATGGAGACAGGAAATGCAGCCTCTCCTGAGGGGTCCTGGCACCTGGGTGGCCCACAGTAAAGGCTGAGGGTGATGCTTCTGTAAACAGGCCAGCCAGCTTGTGGTCCTGGTCTCCGGGTGTCCTAGCAACAGCTGCACCCTCCCTGGACACTCACAGGCTCTGCCCGCAGGCCGTCACCCCGGGGGCCACAGCCCAGCCCTGGCTGGAGTTGAGGCCAAGCCCGGAAGAGGAGCAGCAGGGCTGAGGTGGGGCCGGACAGCAGCTCTGCACCCAGCGATCCAGTCAGGCCCAGGAGACCAGAGGTGTGGCTGACTTGGACCCGGCCCTTCGGGGTCTTGGGAGGGTGGGGAGCGGGGTGAGTGCTCGATAACTGGAAGGGGGGCCGTTCCAGGGGCAGTGGCCGGGCAGGGGCAGAGGACGCCCCTGAACAAGGGGTGCAGCTGGCGGGGAGAGAGACAGTTCCTGGAGCTGGACCGAGCGGGGCAGGGGAGGCGGTGTCCTCCATGAAGGCTGCGGGCAACCTCAGGGAGGGCAGGGCGCACAGGGGGCTCACAGTGGACCCCACCGGCCCAGCACACATGGGAGCGGAGTCTCACGGTTGTAGCTTTGGAGCCAGGTGTGGTGGCACACACCTGTGATCCCAGCACTGGGGAGGCTGAGGCAGAAGGACTGCTGCAGGCTAAAGGCCAGCCTGGGCTACACAGTGAGTTTAAGACCAGGCTAAAACTATACAGTGAGACCCTGTCTCAAACACAACACAGGTTGTTGGGACAGAGCAGAGGCTGTAGCTATACTGAACTATTTGACCTCTGACAAAGAAGTCAAAAACATGCACCAGAAGAAAAACAAAACCAAACCTGCTTGTCCACATGCGAAAGATTGAATGTAGAGCCATCTCTCTCACTGCATAGTAAGTTAAAATCAAAATGGATTACAGATCGAACTGTTAACCCAGAAACACTTAACTTGCTGGAAGACAAGATAGGTAAAATTCCTGAAGCCATGGGCACGGCAAGGGCTTTCTGCACAGAACCCATTGTATAGGAAATAGTTCTGAGAATCAACAAATGGGATCCTAGCAAATTAAGAAGGTTCTGCACAGCAAAAGAAACAACCAACAGAGTGGAGAGACAACCTACAGAATGGGAAAAAAAATGCCAGCAAGTCTTCAGACAGAGGATTAATATCTAGTTCTATAAAGAACTCTAAAATAATAGACTCCCCAAAGTAAAAGACCCAATCAAAAAATGGGCAACTGAAATGAACAGACACTTCTCAGAAGGAGCACAGATGGCCAATAAGAACACGAAGAGATGCTTGACACCAATGGCCGGTACAGAAAGGCAAAGGAAAACAACACTGAGATTCCATCTTACGGCAGAAAGAAGGGCTTCGTCAAGAAAGCGGTAATAACAAGTGGCGGGGGGCTGTGGGGAAAGGGGCCCCCACACTGCTGGTTGGAAAGCAAACAAACAGTACAACTTAAACCCATGCAACCCAGCTATTCCCCTTCCAGGCATCTTCCTGACAGAGTCAAAGATATTGTATCACAGTGACACACACACCCCCACGTTTATAGTGGCACAACTCATAATAGCTAAAACTTGGAAGCGGCCTGCATGTCCATCAGTGGCTGAATGGATAAAGAAAATGTGGTATTTGTTTGCAATGGAGCACTACTCTGCCACAAAGAAGCATAAACCTGAGCCAGCTGCAGGAGAATGGATGCACCTTGAGACCATGATGCTAAGTGAAAGAAATCAGACCCACAACCTTGAATGTCACATGGTTTCTCTTATGTGAGACACTCAAAGTATAAAGAGCAAAATAAAAGATAACAGGGCTGGAGACGCAGCTCTGCAGCACTGTGCCTACCTGACTTCGATCGCTGGTAAAAAGAAAAAAGATAGCTCAGTGGTTCTGTCGCCTGCCTTACAAATGCAAGGACCCGACTTTCGATCCCCGGTACCAAAAAAAAAAAGAAAAAAGAAAAAAGATAATAGGAAGGAGGGAGACAGATGCTTCTCAAAGGAGAAGGGGACAGAGGGAGAACAGGAGATGAAAAAAAATCCCAAGATGTATTACGTGCATGTTCCCACTCCAAACAAGAAATGTGAACATTCTGTACTGCAAACATGGACTAATAAAAAAATAAAACATTAAAACAACCCCTCCCTCGAGGTTGTAGCTTTGGTTCTGCAGCTGGATCTACACCAGACCAACGTCTCAGCAGCGATCTTTGAGCGTGACGCCAGCGGGAGGTGTCCCCGCTCCAGCGGTCTCTGTGTCCCACGGGGGCATCGCAAGGGGACAGGCAGGGCAGAGCAGTGCTGGGCTCCCCGGAAGGAGGGTGAGGGTGAGGTCAGCTCTTCTCAGGCAGGGGAAACAGATGTCCCAGGGCCAAAAGGGCGGTCCCGCTAGTCCACTGGTGGTGTCTGTGGGCGGCCTGTCCCCTGGGCCCCTGGTGCACATTCCCCAGCAGGTGCAAGGCAGGCTCCAGAGCCACAGTCCCTGAGGCCCCTCCCGGAGGCGGGGTGCTGTCCCATCCCACAAGCCCGGAGACCCCACCAGATGCCAGCATCTGTGGGGCCAGGCAGGCTCCTAGGCCAACACAGTGACTGTCCTTACAGCAGGGCGAGCCCAGGCCACCAGAAGTCCTGCTCAGTGAGCGGCGGCACCAGATCCTCCGGTGTGGAAGGAAGTTCCACCCGCAGCACAGACTCTCCCTCCAACCACGTTCTGGATGGAATGGGGGTGGACGCAGAGCTCAGGAAGCACAGGGGAGTACACCCCCCGGGGACCCACTCCAGGGGTCCTGGTCCTCAGAGCTGTCCTGCAGGGTGGAGCGGCTGTCCACCCTTCCAGCACCCTGACACATGTCCTTGGGCCTCATGCCACAGCGGGGCGGCGGGGTCTTCTCCAGCCCAGCCATGTGGTGCCATGGAGGCGGTGGAGCCCACACGGAGGCGCGGCCCTCACAGTGGAGCAGACGGCAGAGCGGCTCTGCAGTACTGGGTGGGCAGCAGCAGGTGCACCCCTTCCTGGCAGCTGCTAGCAGCCTTGCCACGTGGTGGGCCCCTTGCAGCAAGATACTGGGACCCAGGCTACTCAACCTCTGGGTCGCGCAGCCCCTGTCCTGCCCACAGCTGCACCAAAGGCTCATGGGGCGGGGCCAGGTCTCCCCACAGGGTGGGGTGGGGCCAGGCCAGGGGGTCCTGAAGATGGATGGCCCACCCTGAAGAAAACCGACCTGGGGACCCCAGCTTCCCTCCCCAACCCCACGCCCTTCAGCTCACGTGGAGAGCTGGCGCCCTGGGCCCGGAACCAGGTCCCACCATGCACTCAGGTTTGCCCCGGCAGCTCCAAGACCCTGGCTCCCGCCCTGTCTAGCCCTGGGGGGCGCAGGGCTTTCTGTAGCCTTCCCCTCTACACATGCCGGTTTTAAGGATCGTTTTTGTTGCTCCACTTCTGTCACGATGCAGGCCACAGAACACAATGCTGCTTAATGAGGAGAGAAAGCAGCTGACCCATAAAATCTGAGCTGTTCTTGAGCTCAGACAGCCACAGCTGCAAAGCCACCGAATGCCACAGAAGGGTTATGCCCTGCAGCGGGGCACAGAGCAGGAGGGAGAGGCAGCTGCCACGACGCAGGGGAGAACACAGCTCCAGCGTCACTGAGCACTCAGCGGGCATGACGTGGCCTGGGGAACACTCGTGGCTTGGTGGCTCCCGGGTACTCCTCCCCAGCCCGGGCAGTGAAGACCTTTTGGCCCAGTTCTGCCCAGAAACAAGGCAGGGTGCAGCAGTGAGGCAGGAGTGGGCATACACCCACATCCTAGGGACAGGACCCACCCAGACCAAGGCCGGGCCAGGAGGACCTAGAGCGGCCCCTCCTGGGCCACCAGCGGCCTCCTGAGGGAGAGGCAGGGGCAGACACTTCAAGGTGGCCATGGTGGGCCCCAGGGAGAAACTCAGCTACAGCTACAGCCGGAAGAAGTGCACATCCACAGTGCTGGGGATGACCCCTGAGCCAAAGCCAGCCTGTGTGACCCACAGCAGGGTGTGTCCTCCCTGGGCATGAGGACCTGGTCTCCACTGTTCTACCACAAATACCCTGCACTCCACAGTCACGACCCCTCAACAACCCAGAGTCCACCCGTTACCCTGAAGCCACGCCTCCACCAAGCCAGTCCCCGGACGCCTGTCACGTCCAGTGGACACGGTGATGGCGGCAGCCTGACGTGCTTCCTGCCAGCCTGTGGTGATGCTGCACAGCCCATGGCAGGCCCTCTGGGCCCCTGTGCAGGGGTCCCCGGCTAAGCACGGGCGCGGGAGCGGGCCCTGGGTGCACTCAGCTCGCAGCAGTACAGCCTTCTCTCCAGACGCTGCAACACCTCGAGGTTCACACCTGAGGGACACTGGGGCCTTGGACGCACGTCCCCAGCACAGCGCAGCACCAGGAGGGCCCTACTTGTCCATAACTACACATTAAGTCCCTGCCACGGGGTCCTTCCCTGGATGCATGGTCCGCAGTGCTGTCCCCAAACACGAGTGTCTGGGACCCTCCTCGCCTCCGCTGACAGATGAGCTCCTGAGACCCGCCTGAAGCTGATCCCCCGAGTGCCGCTGGCCCTGCCTCTGACCCCCGGCGGCCACCGTCCCAGTGCTACTCTGGCTGCCGTGGCACAGCGAGCCGAGCGTGCCTCAGCCCCAGCTCCCATGGGACAGGCTCCTCCAACACTCAGCTGCCGTGGCCGACAGGACAGGGGAAAGCCCGGTGACCATACAGCACAGTGCTTCAAAATGTACCAGATTTTTCTACAAATCACTTTCTAAAAATGTAAGCAACTAAAGCCAACATCGCCATTCCAGCGATCCGTTCAAACAGGCTGGGGCAGAGAACCCCTCCTCCTCCATCATATTCCCGCTACATTCCTGGTTTATAGGTGGCTTAAAGTCTTGAGTTCATTCAAACCACACAATGGAGAATGAGATCACCTGTGTGAGACAGAGCCTTCCACAGGCCAGCTGCAGGCGGAGTCCCAGCTCTCCGCTCAGGGTGGCCGCGCCCTTGGGGCCAGGGCAGGGGTAGGAGTGGCTTCTCACACCTCTCACACTGGCTGAGCCCCGCACATGGGCGGGCCGTTCAGACGCCTTGGCCCTGGGGCTACACATTTCCCTTTAACAGTGGCAGGGAGAGCCCGGGCTGACCACACTAGGACTGCGTGCTCGCTCGCTCTCGGCCGAACATGACACACACTCTGACATCTGCCAACGCCCCCAGGCCGGAAAACTGCACACCATGCAGACTCCCACTTGTCAGGATCTGCCGGGCTGCTATCCACCTACTCGTCTACCTGAAGAGGCAGACGGATCTTTATACCCATGCGCATCATTTCACAGCTGCCGGAAGGAACCTCAGAGACGGAATTCTCACACTGAAGCTCAAGCCCAGAGCCCGAAGCTGGCCCGAGGCCCCTCCTGGACCCATTCCATGCCGCGCCCACACTCTGGCCTGGAGGGGTGAGACGATGAAGGACCCAAACATCTCAAACATGCACTCACGGCGCTCACTCCAGCTCACCTCAGTTCCAGACGCACCTTCCAACCTGCCGGGTCTGCTCGCCCGCCACCAAGCGAGGACGGCTGTAGGGTGGACGACCGGGTCACCCCTCCAGGATGGTTCAATCCTGGTGTGTGCATGGAGGGGTCTGTCTTACCTTTCTTCCCGTTAGTGCCGAAATAATCAGGTTTACGGAAAACTACAAGCAAAAAACCTATTTGGAAGTTTTTGCTGTAAGCTGAGATACGCAATGTGAGAAGAGTCTCGAAGATGCAGTGGATCGGAACAGTCCCATGGACAGTGCGTCACTCTGAATGTCTGCTTACAGTGGAAAGTGGCTTTTGGTGACTTGAGCTTTACAAAATAAAACATCCGTAAGGCATGTTTCTATTTTTAATTTTTTTGCTTTGATAAATCAGTTGCTTCACAAAAATCCTTTTAAAGACAACAATCCAAGAAAACATTGTTACAGTATTCACATTTTAAAGATTGTCAGTTTCAAAGACCGAACATAACTAAAATAGGCAGATTGCTGAGTTAGTCCTGTCACTAACTGCCAGAGAGGGCCCTCGGGATGGAGCCTGTCTGCGAGAGCAGTGTCCCCTGCTTCCTCACAGAGGAGGGACTGGGCTGCCACCAGCTAGAGCCAGGCCTGGAGGCCCAGCTGTCAAGGGCACTCTGCGCACTGGATAAACACTCTGCTCCTCTCACTATCTGGATGCCAAAACAGGAGCGCTGAGCCCACCAGCTGGGGCTTGCTGGGGTGAGCCAACAGCAGGGAAGACAATGCTGGCAGTGGTCTCAGGACACAATGGCAAGGTGCTGTCCTGGGAGGAATTCAACGAGAACCAGGCTGGGATGGAATCGAATGTGGCCGTGTAAAATGGAGCACAAGAGGCCGCGCTCCCGTCTCTCCACTGACTGAGGACTGTGGGACAGGCACTAACCACAAACAGGCTGCACAGTGACTCCGAGCCACAGGGCTGGCCGCGTGGCAGCTGTGTGACAGCTTCTCTGTTACTCACAGAGTGGGGGCGGGAACTCGGGCTACGACCCAGGCCCCTCTTACCATCTGTGTTACTCCCTGAAGTTAGCAAAGTTCAGGGCTGAGGAAACCAGCTTCCCCTGGAGAAGGCAGCTGCGCCTCCCCACAGGAGTTCAGGCCCAGCCAGCGTGATCCACACGGCTGGGTCTCCACACCAAGGCGACACAAGGGCCACTCAGGAGGGCGCGTGCTGCAGCTCTCTTCCCTGCGCTGCCCAGCAGCAGGTGGCTGGGTGAGGGGCGGCTGGGCTCCCCAGGTTGTAGTTTTAAGAACTCCAACAAAGTTGGCATTTAAATAAAGTTAAAATGATCTCTTAGGCTTATGAGACCTGACTTAAAATATGGAAAACTATTTATAAATAACTTATGCAGGGGCTGATTAAAAACGTTATTCTCTCTCCAGAAGAGCTGATATGGGTTTAAAGAAGTCTCCGCCCACCAGGGTACTGGGATGTACTCCCCTTGAAGAATCACCTATTTTGTGGGAGAATCCGTTACAGAAAAACAATCTGTCTGCTAACAAGGCCCCGGTGTAACCTGGTCTGTGCCAGTCAGTGCTGTGGAGCCTCAGAGCCTCTGTCAGTGGGGACTGCAGGGCCCTGTCCACAGTGACGCCGAAACAGGCTGCACAAGCCAGGTGTCTGGTGTTCTCTCTGAGAAAAAGATCCGCTCTTGAGTGAACAAAAACAAACCAAAACCAAAGAAAAGAAAACCCACCCTGCTCTTGCAGTTTGCCACCGATACATGGGAGTCTCCAAATTATTCCACATCTGGGGTGACCGAGTGAGCAGGGAGCCCTCGGGGAACTCGGAAGCAACAACACGCGAGCACAAGTGTGTGTGAGGCGACCCGCGGGTCTGCTTCACCACACCACACCGCCACGGTCCAGCTCGCCACTGTGACTTCGTTCACGTCCGCCAATTACGTGAGACAGGGCGGTGTCTGAATTTACCCCAGCTCTCAGCCAGTGGAGCAGAGAACATTTTATATTAGTGTATAATCAACAGTCTAGGCATAACATATTCTGACTAAAAAAACCCTTAAAACAACACACAGTTAGCACAGTAAAGTGACTGTGTAACCGAGGTCAAATTCAAATTAGACTGGAGTAGGGGTGGCGGGGGCTTCAGGCTGGCTCGTGGCTCCTTCCGCCTCACTGATCCACGTCCTGCTGAGCACTACCTTCAGGTACCGCGCAGACCACGTGTGAAACGCAACATGGCACTGCACAGACGCAGACTTCTGGAGATGTCAGAGTCCAGTTAGGTCGCTGCTTTTTCAGCACTAAAGGCAGACCTCCCGGGAGAGAGAGCAGGAGGCCAGGGGACAGCAGCCAGTGTGGGCAGGGTCTCAAATCTGGGCGATTCGGAACATTCCCAACCGAAATGCAAGCATGTGTCATTTCTTCTCTAGAAATTTTATCCTCAATAGAGTCATAATCCAATTCATAATGAATTTATAAAAATAGCTTTTTATCCAATAATTCCAGCAAGGTAAAAATAGGAGTTTCTTTTTATATATAGCAAATGAAACAGGCTCTCTGACCACGAGGGAACCGAGGTGCACCGCGGTGGCCAGAGCTGACAGTGCTGCCACCCGTAGTCTGCTGCAGGCCGCCGCTGTCTTACCCAGCGGCTCCAGATCAGCTTGTCTGTCCGTGGCGACACTGACACTGACACAGCAGCCCTCCGACATCTGCTGCAAGCTACAGAACTCAATTAAAACTGCATAATTTATTAGAAAACAGCAGCACTATTCCTAATCTAATTAGGGACTCAAGGTGAGGGTCATTCATCACAGTCCTATCGTTAAACCCTTGAAGAATTTCTTTAAAAACCCACACACGCACACACTTGAAAGAAGTCGCTGCACCGGCAAAGACCCAGTTTTTAAGCCGACTATGAAATACAAAAGTGCACTTTTCTATATCTACATATAAAACATATTAGAAATAAAACTGTGTAAAATGCTTGCTGTGCAAACTATAAAACGCGAGGCGGGTCTCCGGGGCTCTCCTACTGCAGGGAGTCGCTGTTCTCTAGCACCAGCCCGCCGATGTGGGTGGGCGCCAGCGCGGCCCCGTCCTCCTCCCCGCTGTCCACGGACTCGTCCTCGCTCTGGCCCGCCATCATGACCTGCTGCACGGCCAGGGTGGCCCCGTCCGAGGACAGGGACTGCAGGCTGTCCACATTCATGTTCACGGGCGCGGTGATGGTCACGACGGCACCTGCAACAGAGCACAGGGCGGCCCAGATGAGCGCAAGGACAAAAGCGCCGGGGGACTCGCCACAGTGCGGACATCGGCCATCCTTCAGAGTCCCGGGGATTCCAGAAACTGCTGCTGCACTCGGCCTCGCCCACACTGAGCTACCAAGGACTGGATCTGAAGATGGGGATCAGGATGACAAAGAGCAGAGAGAAAGAGAACGAGAAAGATGCGCTGGAGGAATACGTGAGAAACAAGAAGAAACTAAGGAAGGAACAAGGAAGGCTGACCTGAAAGGCCAAGCAAACCCTGCCACACGCCCTGCCAGTCTGTGTGCCACAGAGCTGGAATGCTGCCAGCCCGACGATCCACGAAGAGGGCCCAGGGGAGAGGCTGGCGGGGACCCGGCTGCTCGCAAACACAGACAGCAGATGTCACACACCCCAAGGTGGACCAGCGACTGACGGCAGCAAGAAGGGCAGCCCCTCAGTGACATGCTGATGCTTGAGTCACATCTCAGAAGCGAGTCACTCGCTCCTTCAGGCCTGCACACAGAATATGCAGCAGAGCACAGGCAGGGAAGGAAAAGCCGAGCCTAGGGGAGGGAGGAGCAGCTGGGAGGAGGCCCACGCTCTGCGGACACTCTTCTCAGCATATTCCCTCTCTGGGGAGGGAGCTGAGGGGGAGGACAGCACTTGCTACAGCCTGAAGAGTGTCCCTGAAAGCCTGTGTGTGAAAGGCATGGTCCTCGGGTGGCATCAGAGGAGGAGGTGGGAATGTGGGAGGCAGGGGTGTGCCCTCAGAGAGGACGGTGGGACCTGGCCTCTTTCTCTCCCACCTCTCTGGTCTACCCACACGCTCCCCACCAGGATGCACCTCTCTTTCCAGAGGACCAAGGCATTGGGCACCTGATCTGGACTAGAACCATGAACTAAAATACACCTTTTCTCTCCATAAGCTGGTTGCCCCGGGCATTGTGTTATGGGCCTGGGAAACTGACCTTTCTATTATTTATTGATCAAAAGAGAAAACAAAAAGACAGAGATGTAATATCTACCAAACCAGACATTAAAACAGCTACTACAACCATATTCTATGTATTGAAAACCTACCAGACTCATGGAACATATAAAAAGCTCAAATAGGACTTCTGGGAAGATGAAAAGTATAATGCCTAAGATGAAAAACAGGCTACCCGGGGTTTATGCAAGAATAACACTGCAGAAGCAGAGACAAGGGAAGCAGGAGAGGAATAGCAACTGTCCAAGCTCAAACACAGGTAAACTGAGCAGAGCCTCAGTAACTGTGCACGGTCACTACCTACACACGGGCCACTGTGGTCCTGGAAAGGACTCGGCGGTGGGGTGGGCTGGAAAACAGATCTCCAGGAAAACTGGGTGGGTGGGAGTGTAACTCTGGGGTGGAGTGCTCCCCTAGCACCCACGAGGCCCTGGGCTCTGTCTCCAGCACCACAAAAGGAAAAGAAAAAGGGGCCTAAGACTTTCCTACTTAGTAACTGTATATTGCCATGTGAAGAAAAGCAAGCACAGCAAAATAACATTTAAAACATATGTACACATCCACACACATGACATATGCACACGGCCAGGCACAGCGATGTGTATCTGTAGTCCCAGCTACTCAGGAGGCTGAGGCAGAAGGATCACTGGAGGCCAGGAGTTCGAGGCCAGCCTGGGCAACAGAGGACACTGTACATTAAAAAAACAAAAGCCCACAAAGCAATGCAAAATTTGAAAAGCTCATGGAAACAGAAAGAGGCTCATGAAAGACATCAGAATGGTAGGTGCTGACGGGCAAAGGACAGAGTCAGAGGAATAACCAACATGAGAGACAGGGGCGTGGATGGGAGAAAGGTAAGACAAGACATCAGGCAGGCGCTGGGAGGGATGAAGAGCCCAGCCAGAGCCAGACCCACAGGAGCGCCAGAGCGCCTCAGGCTGCGCCGCACTCATCTTCGGTTGGCCCTCGGCACCTCGCCAGTGCCCCTTGCACACAGCCCCAGCGCAGCCTGTAACGCTAGGACCAGAGAGAGGGCCGGGTCGGGTGGGTGTGGGCCCACCCCACCCCACCCCACCCCACCCCTCTGGCCCGACCAGCCCACCGCACCTTCCGACATGGCGAGCTCGCTGGGCGGAGCCTGGGCCACACCCGACACGATGGAGTCTGGCCAAAACCTCTGCACCGGCCGGTTCTGACCCGTTTTCTTCTTCGTCTTCGGGGTCTCTGAACAACTGGAGTCCAACATGGGCTGCAGAATTCGTCTTCTAGCATTGATGAACCTGCGTGCGGACAAAGGGAAACTGAGGCCCGAATGACTTTCTTGAAGGCCTTATACAGGGTACCAACTGCTCTGCATGAACGCGCGTCTTCACAGACCACATCACCGCCGCACTGCTGCCTCAGAGCAAGGACGGCAGGCCGCCGTCTAACTAGAAAAACAGGGCTTACTGTTCAGAAATGACTCTTTCAAGTGAGGACCAACTCTTCACGGCCCTTTCTGTGTCGTTTCTCTCACCTCACCTCGTTTGCTGTGTGTCTGTGAATTAGACGCGCACACAAATAGACAAGACACAAATCTGGGCCTTTGGCACTATTTTCTCGAAGGCAGGAAAATGCAGCAGAGGTGAGTCTTTCTGTGCCCTGTGTCTCCTCACAGCGCCGGGCAGCGCGCTGGACGCTCAGCACAGTCGCGCCGCCAGTGCCCTTCCCCAGCAGCACTCTGGGTGAGCGGCATCTTCTCCAAAGACCCGTGCAAATGGCCAGCCACCTGTCTTGGACACCCAGCTAGCACAACAGCTGTGTGTGGGCAGTGACAATGCCTGGGACAACTGAGCGCTGTCCCCTTGGCCACGACCCACACAGAAAGAGACCCACAAAGGGACAAGTCGGCAAGGCAGGCAGGACATGGCTTCCGGGAGTGCTTGCTCAGTCCCCAGCCTCGCTCGGGGCACTGGGCTGTTGCCATCAATGTGCGGGAGCCCCAACCCCAAGGCAGCTCTCCAACGCGGGCACCAGAGGACAGCAACATCCCAACAGCCCCTCCCATCTCACTCCACACCCTCCCCTCGGGGCGACTCCAGAGTGCAGCACCCCGGCAGGAAAACCCAGCGTGGCCCCATAAGCTCCAGCAACCAGAACCTGTGGACAGTCACCATCTCCAGGCCGCTACAGTGCACTGGCCGGCCAGGCCCAGGGACTCTTTCCTGTCTCCTTTGCAGAGGACCGAGGCCCTGAGCCAGCCCCATACACACTGTCTCTAAGAGCCAGGCCCAGACAACAGCACGGCTTTGGCCTTGACCCCTTCTCTGCTTTGTCACCATGACAGCGTTCTCACCAGCGAAATGCCAGAACCACAATGGCATCACCTCCAAGGCTGCTGCACTTGAAATTCTAAAACGAGGCTGGGTGTGGGGGAGCACACCTCAAGGCTGAGGCAGGAGGATCTCGAGTTCCAGGCCAGGCCTGAGCTACACAGTGACACTTTGTCTCAAAAAAAACAAAAACAAAAAAACTAGGATGAGAAGTAGTAATACAATCTGAGGACACAGGCTAACAGTGACTAGACTTCGGCCAGACCCCTCCGGGGAAGGCACGGTCTCTGAGGCACAGAACACCTGGGCAGGGCGGAGGACAGCCACTGCTGCACCTCAGCACTCCTGCTGCCTCCTCCTTATCCACACTCTGTGGAGCGAGGCCAGGCTATGGCAGGGTGTGTTTCAGCCTCAAAGACAGTATCTCTATCAACACAGAAGCCTCAGGAAGCTGGGGCAGGAGGATCTAGGGAATACAGGAAAACCCTGCCTCAAAAAAAAAATAGAAAAAAGAAAGTAACAGAAAGTGAAAATTGCTACAAATATTAAAGGATTTTTAGAAAACTTAGAATTAAAAAAGTTATACTGCTAATTTTAAAAACTAAAAACTGGTTTAAGCCTTCTACGTAAGACAACTGTGTGAACCTGACAGAGTAGCAAGCTGGGGAACAGGAGGAAGCCATGGATGAAAGCTGGAGGAAGACCCATCAGCCTCAACAATAGCCCAGGAGCCAGAGGGCCTCTGACACTCGTTCCCCAATCAATTGAGCAACCAATCGATGCCATTATGACACAACTAAATCTGAGGCTTTGACAAAGGACCACATGAGAATTGCCAAGAAGGGCTCAGTATAATGCAAACATCGTAGCGACAACATGCTGGAAACTTTTACATTTTTGCAAGCAGTCTACGTAACAGTTTAAGAGGAAGTAACTCAGGTAGTATAGTCTACTGCTGCTACCCAAATAAAAAACAACAGGCCAAATGAACGCAAGACAACAGAAGCACTGACTGCAACACCTAGGAATGCATAAGCAGATAGACTTCACTGAAGTTTGCATTTTAGCACAGCTAAAATAAAGAGGAACGTGTACACAAGTCATGGCACTTGTGTTTTCTTCCATACCAGCTGACTACTAAGCGGAAGTTGCTGCCTACCCCTGAAACGTAATGAAAAGAGGCAAAGGACTCACAGTGGCAGTGCTCATGGGCAGAAATGCGCGGCCAGGTCCACACGTCCACAAACACATGTGACTCCAGAACAGGAAGAGGGTGTTTTGACCTAAGCACAGATGTCCCCCTGGGTGTGCCCTGGTGACAGGCAGCAGAGGGACGGCATCCCCGAGGGACACGAAGGGCCACTGAGTTCCTAAGGGAGACTGGAGGGTCCACGAGTGCCAGGACACCCTGCTGTCACCACACTTGTCCAGAAACCGTCCACTAAAACAGCCCTGGTTCTGAAGGCGTGGGCCGGGGAAATGACGCCACGGAAGCCTTTCTTGGTGGGGTAGGTGGGATTCGGGTGGGAGTCCACCATGAAGTGCGCACTGCTGGTCCTCAGCACCTGCCACCAACCACAGCCTGAGCTAACGTGCCCGCACACTCCAACAGTGCTCCCCACACCCCAGGTGCGGGTCCCGAGAGCAGGTACCTTACCAGTTGTTGACTTGGAGCAGTGTCAAGTTTGTCTGAGCAGCGATCTGCTTTTTCTCGTCCTCTGTTGGGTAAGGATGCTAAAAATAAAAAGGAGGGTAACCGTGACGTTGATTTTTATACAGGAAATCAAGATTATCTAAATGAAATATCAGCATACAAATAAGCAGTAGTAAATACTGGCATTTCTCATCAGTGCTTTTGGCCAAAACCTAACTTTCATCCTCTGCCCGGAAGAGAATATGGTGTTTCTCCTCATCATCCCTGAGAACTAGCACTACAGTAGCTAGGCAGCGGAGGCAAAGGGGCTCCAGCGACAGCAACAGTGACAGCAGCAGGCCCAGCAGCCCAGCGGGCACTAGCGGAGACCCCCAGATCACCCCATGTCAGCTGGCCTGGGTTTTGTCTATGACCCAGTGGCTGCACCTTTCGGAGGAGGAGCGGGGGGCCTGCAGCCTGGAAGCCTCTGTACAGTGTGTGCCCCTCCGGGCTCCTCCGCTACCTTTGGAGACAGATGCTGCTGACCTCCAGCCACACAGTGAGAACAAACCAACACTTAGATGCAGGAGTCCTCCCACACCCCAGGCCCGAGGGGGCGGGGCCTGGTGTGCAGTCCTTGGGCACAGGGCTGTGCCCTGGAGGGACTGTGGGCCTTGGCCTTCCCTCCGCTCCTCTCTTCCATCGCCAGCACCCACACTGTGGCCGACAGCAACAGGCCCACTGGGTGGACAGCAGACGGACTGTAGCCTCTGAACCGCGAGCGGATAAACCTTTCCTCTTGTGCGTTGATGATGAGGACAGCAGACACGTCACTGTAACCGTCACTGTCACTGTGGTGGGAAGCAGACTTACACCCACACTGGCAGGAAAGAACCGAGCCCAGCTAGGGGCGGGTGTGTCTGTTACATTAGCCTTCTGTGTGGGACTGAGCACTTCACTGAGAAAGAGACCAATGGCATGAAGGGCGAAGGGTACAACTCAGTGTCAAGGGCCTGCCCTGCACAGGCAAGGTCCTGGGTTTGATCCACAGCACCTCCCCTCCAAGTTAAAAAATAACAGAAAGAAAAAACCTGAATTAAACTAGAAGTAAATATCAGAACTCCCAGCGGCACCAAAGGAGAATCGTGCCCTCCACCTGTGCCACTTTCTCCGTTGGAGACAAGGAGCCCTGACTTTAAGACTGTGCCCGAGCCCCCTGCTTGGACTCCAGCTGCCCACACACTCAGAACACAGGTGTTGGTCTCGTCTGAAGCTAAACACAAGCACGAAGGGAAATGCCACCGCACATGGCAGCCAGATCGAGGCACAGCCCTCCTGTGGGACACTTCCGTGTCAGCTGACAAACCAGTGTGTGCGCCAAGCTCACGGCTGGAAGGTAAATACTGTTCTTGCCCTCTAAGAAGCCCACAGAACAAATGGGGCCAGAAACCCAGACCGTAGCCAATGCTGCCCGAGGGTGTTTGGCAAACTACGGGGAGGAGGCCTCTCCAGGAGAAGAGGGCAAGAGGGACAGGCGGAGGACTCACGGACAGACCGTGTTCCCCTTACTGATCTTTAGGAGGAGGCTTCTCATTTTAGAAATCATCCAAACACTAAAGGAGAGGCACAGTGGTGCACACTGCAATCCCAGCTACTCGGGAGGCTGAAGCAGAAGGGTTGTGTGATCAAGCTCAGCTTGCGCAAATTAGTGAAAACTTGTCCTAAAGAACAAAATAAAAGTGCTGAGGGTGTAGCTCAGTGCTTCCCAAGTTCAACCCCCAAGACCTCAAACACAAACAAACAATAACTAAGGAAACCCGGAAGGAGAGCCACAGGTGGCTGGGCCTCGAGCGCCTTCACTCCCCTCACACAGCCGCCCGCTGCCTGCAGCCCTCCCCTCCAGGGCCTCCCTGTGGACCCCACCTGCCTGGCTGTGGGCTTCGTCACTGTAACCCGGTGAGCCGACTCTGCCAGCAGCGGCAGGTCGGCTCCCGTGGCCCCGGGGAGCACCGCCACCCCCAACTCTGGGCAGCCAGGTCTGCACAGACCCCGTCTGCACGCCCGCCACTGCTCCTGTGCAGACACACCAAGGCCGAGGGCCGGACCAGAAGCATCTTTTCTCAGCCCTGCGCCCTGAACCCTCCTCACAGGTGCGGTTTATCTCACAGGCCTTGTTGACTCCCTTCCCACCTGGGGGCATGCCTTGTGGTTTACACTTCTGGAAGCTATTTGTCCATCTTACTTCCCCCATGGCCGGCACACACAACTTAAGGAAGAGGTTTATTGGGTTCACAGCCTGGAGAGGCTGCAGTGCATCGGCTGCCTCCAAGGCAGGGCGGCCTGGCAGAGGGCAGGTGAGGAGCTGCCCCGCACAGCATGACGGGTAGCAAGCAGGACGGGCGGCACGCAGAACGGGCGGCACACCCTTCTAGGACAAGTCCCCAGTGACCCCCTCTTCTCACCAGGCTCCACCTCCCAACACCACGCCTGCTGTAGCTCCCCATAATCCAATCCCCTCTGGAAGCCCCCACCTCTGAGCTCGTGAGGCTGTGAGGGACATCAGATATGACTCGCCACAGCCTCTGTTGAGGCCCCTGTTATGGACTCTATCTACTCGCGCCCCCAAACCTCCTGTGCTGAGGTGGCTGCACTGGGGTATGACTGTGGACTGAGGCGGTGATGCTGGGATTAAGGGCGTCCCACCCTGGGTGTGAGTGGCACCAATCCTAAGGCGTGGATGGGACAGAGGGTGAGGCAGGCTGCTGCTGCTCCTGCTGCTTGCTGCTCAGCCGTCTCCCCGCCTGCTTGCTTGCCGTGAACTGTTTATCCTCTGTGACACCTCTCTGCCACGCCACCCTCCCTTGGAGCCAGTCGACTATAAACTGAAACCTCTACAGACTGTGAGCTAATTAACCTTTCCTCTTTAACTTTCAGTGTCAGTATTTTGTCTCAGCAATGAGAAAGTAACTGAGACGCCCTCCTTCTGCCCCATGCTCAACCCACTGTGGATACTCAACATAACAGTGATGCTTAGAATCAGCCTCATAGACACGTAAATTTTCCACACAACTAAGCCAGGAAAAAGGCGTCCCATGCATCCTTACCCCTATGTGCTGGAAGAGCCAGGACCGCATGACATTGGTGGCGTGCTTGGGCAGGACGCCCCTCTTGTTCTTGGATGAGCCGTCATCCTGGTGCAGGAGGCTGAGGTCCTGATTCAATTGCAGCTGGAGCTTTTACATAGGGGAAACATAGTCAGCAAGAGGAACCTATGACACATCCCAGCCTACAGCTGCAGCCTGCAGTGCAGACGGTCAAAACGACTAGGATCTTACGATGGATGGCACTGGGGCCTCTGCAGGCCGAGCATTTGAGGGTGTGTGTGCTACTGTGAGAGACACCTCAGTCTTCACCCACTGCTGGGCAGGAGGCTTGGGAAGTCCCTGGGCCCATAGCACCGGATGACATCCTTCTGAGTGCTTTGAGCTGACTGCTGGCTGGCAGCAGCCAGGTGGCTTCCGGATGGGGTGATGCCAGGAGAGACCAGCAGGTCTAGAGGTCCAACCTCCAGGGGAAGAGGGCAAGGTTACAATGTCTGCTGTGCCCACGTAATGGAGCCTCCATAAACCACACAAGACATGTGGCAGTCCACAGCTATAATCCCAGCACTTGGGAGGCTGAGACAGGAGGATCGCCATCCATTTGAGACCAGCCTAGGCTACACAGTGAGTTCAAGGTCAGTCTGAACTATGTAGTGAGACTCTGCCTCAATACCAACCAGACAAACAAAACCTCACAGGACAGGGTTGGGAGCCATGGGTCCCTCACACCTGCAGGTCCCTGGAGACAGAGGAAGCCAAGCCCTTCCCTGTACTTTGCACTGGGCCCCTCTTGCCCTGTCCTTTGTGATACAGTGACAATGAGTGGCCCAACATGTTCATGAAGGGCTGTGACTCATATGTCTCACAGCCAGGTGGCTCTGGACCACTGGCGATACACACATGACTTACCCGACTGGGAAGCACGGCACAGTCCCATCCAGTGGCACAAGCTGCCCACCTGATGAGACGGTCATACATGCACCACCGGTGGTTCCAGCCAGCGGGAATGTGTGCTTCCCTGGGTTCTTTGGGCCTCCGGCATAAACACTGATCTTGGGGTAGGAGCTGGGGAGCCCTGGTTTACTCAGCAGGGGCTGAAGCCCTGTGTGGCAGGCAGTGGACAGCGGGGTGGGAAGGGTCCCAGGCTGATGTACGGCTGCCACCACAGCTGTCCTCCTGGGAAAATCCTGGCTGTTGTCACTCACTGACTTCTTGGACAAAACCACTGAACGTTTCTGACGCAAAACAGTATCTCTCATTGGTAAGTTACCTCGAGTGTTTGAACAAGAGAACCCAAACTTGGACCCCAAAAAAGAAGAGTCCACAGCAACCCAAACAGCTATAATAGCATCATACATATAATATGTATTATATATGTATCCATACATATGCATATTATATATAGAGTCTGCCCCAAAAATGTATGCATTGGGAAAGGAAAAACTTGTATAAATATCAACGCTAAATTTATTGAGATTCTGAGATTAATACAAGTTACCTTTGGCCTCTACAATTACACGAGGTCAGAGTGGCGGCCACTTGCTTGCAGATGTTAGTACGGCAAACTGCTGAAGTGTGTGTACATTTTTTTAGCAAATTCTGTTTATGTTTTTTAACAGTGCTGGGGGTTGAACCCAGAGCCTTACACGTGCTATGCAAGCACTCTAACAATGAGCTACAGCCTCTTGTCTTTTTTTAAATTTTTCTCTTGGGACAGGGTCTTGCTAAGTTGCCCAGATGGCCTTGAAATTGGGACCCTCCTGGCTCCTCCTCCCATGTAGCTGGGCTCACAGGTGTGTGCCACCACACCCAGCTTCAACCTTTGTTTCTAAAAACATTCAGGTGAGTAGAACGCTTACAGGCCCTTGTACACACTAGGCAAGCACTCTACCGCTAAGCTACGTGCCCAGTTGGAAACTTTCCTTCTCAAATAAGACATGAACTCCTACTGTATTAGTAGGGCATTTGACTTGAAAGTGTTTTCCTCTAAAAATACCGTAATTTGACACCAGGGAACTACTTTCACACCAGACCTGGCTTTTTTGTTACAGTCTAAATGGAAAGCCAAAGGCAAAGGAGGCTGGCTGGAGAGTGGAGGGGCCGTGTCAGCAGGGTCCACCTGGCTCTTCGCCTATGCAGGCGTGGGCCTGGTCAGTGAAGTCCTCAACCCCATCTTGCATCCTTTCCTGTTAGCTGACTCTGTCCACCTGAATCATGGAGCCCGGATTGGCATGCCAGACTGCCCGCCCCACTGAATGCCTGCCTGGAGGTGCGTCTGAATCTAGTGAGACACCCACACCCCTAATGCTAGGCACCTGGAGTTCTCCATACAGATGGGGAAATGTCTTACCTCACAAAAAAACAAGTTAACGCCCATAAAATGACAACTTCACCTAGTCTGCCTGATATATACCTAGCTCGAAGCGGAAATATGTGCACTTCTGAATTCCAACAGGCCTGGAGGCCCAGCGAGTCCAGACTCATTTCACCACAGAGGCACGGATGGGGGGTAGGACATCCTGGGGACACAGTGACAGCAGGCCCCTATGCTCTGTCCTGCTGCCTGTGCAGCTGCCTCCTGGCTTGGGGCAAGCAGAAGGGCTGAGAGGTGTAACCAGGAATCCCCCTCACAGGTCTGCTCCACAGGAAGTGCCCTGACACATCACAGGCACAGCAGGGCCCGGAGAGCTTCCCGTGGAAGTGGGCCCTGACACCTCAGTGGCTATGCAAAGCAGTCACACACACAGCTGGCCTTTCCTGCCACACGGGTGACCTTCCTGCCCCGTCAGACTTTCCCAGATTTTGTAAATTTTCTACAATGAACTACAGTGGGCTCCTAGAGACAGGTGACCATCAGGCAGAGGAGCCGAGCCACGGGGCAGCACCCCACACCTTCCAGGGAGTGCACATGCACCTGCGAGTTCTGGATCCTGATCGTCCCCGGAGATAATGCCTGGGTGACCACTTGGCCTTGAGGAGTGACCACTGTGACAGGCTGGTACACGGTGCCACCTCGAAAGAGAACAGATGGTTTACAAGTTAAACTACTTTTAAGTCCTGATGATTTAAAACCACTCTTCTTGATATACTTAGGGAAGGAATAAAACCTCCAATCTGATGAGCCTTTAAATCATTGCAAGTTCACTTGTCATTGTAAATTACAACAGACTCACCAGACTGCCCACTAGGTTCCTTACAACCTAGGTGGCTTCCGGGGGAGCTGGCCATTCCCTTCCATTTGCTGCCTCTGATTTTTACTTTTTTCTACAATCAGCAAACGCTCCTGGGTGTGGTGATACACGCCTAGAATCCCAGTGCTGGGACGCTGAGGGGCAGGATCACTTCGAGTTCGAGGCCAGTCTGGGCTACATAGTGAAACCGGGTCTCAAAACAACAAACAAACAAACCAGAAAACAACCCCACAATTGGCACATGTTAAGGATTTGGCCAAGGGCAACAAATAACAAATATTTTTGTTCCGGTTATACTTTTTTTTTTGTACTGGAGATCAAACTCAGGACCTTGTGCATGCCAGGCAGGCATGACACCACTGAGCTACATCCCCACCCCTGTTCTTATATTTTTCTTTTCCCATGAGGCTTCTTTTAGCTTATTGCGAGTTTTTCAGTGTAAATCTCTGCCTCTCCCTACATTTTCCCTGTTCCATTTTCTTTTACTTTTTTTTTTTGAGACAGGGTCTCGCTGTGTAGCTCAGGTTGACCATAAACTCACTATGGAGTTCAGGCTGGCCTCAAACTCATGGCAATCTTCCAACCTCAGCCTCCTGAGTGCTGGGATTACAGGTGTGCGCTACCACACCTGGCCCTGTTCCATTTTCATGACATTTTGTATTCACAATATCATACACATACCAGGAAACGCTGGACTCTGTCCCCTTCTTGTCATGGTTTTTGCTATACAGTAACAGTAAGATTAGGTCTGTGTCATTAATTTATAATCAACAGGAGTTTCCAGGTGCTGCTAAAAACATAAAACTATGTAACTTGAAAAATCATAATTGGTTTTTGCTACTTTTTTTTGAGACAAGGTCTCATTATGTAGCTCAGGCTGGGCTTGAACTCATGGTGATCCTCCTGCCTCAGCCTCCTGAGTGCTATTACAAGTGTGCACCACCACACCTGGCTCTACTACATATTTTTAACTTCTACATAAACCTGTTTTCTAATATACTTTTTTTATTTGGTACCAGGGATCGAACTTGGGTCCTTGCACTTGTGTAGCAGGCAGTGAAACCACTGAGTTAAACCCCCGGCTTCTAATATACTTTTGGTAGGAAAACAAAATCTGCATAATATATTTGGTGAGAATTAACAAGCAGCAGACATACAAAGACCTCGGATTATAGTACTGTTAGTCAGAAACTAGCATTAATTAAGATACATGAAATCTAGAAAAATTAAAAATTTAGAAAATTATATTTATATACTTGCTCAAATACAAATGGGCCTATTTCCTGCCAATGCTTGTGGAGAACATGTCGGTTTTCCGATGGCCATACCTGCCACTGTCGCCATGGTGACATTTCCCTGCTGCAGGGCAGATGCCGGCACCACGATCCCTTGCGGGCTAAGGGTGCCCGTGATTGCGCTCTGAATCTGCTGGACATCAGAACACACACATCGTGGGGTTAGCAGAAGGTGGGAAAGCTGTGACTGAAGCTTCAGGGTGGTGGCACCGTGACATCACTGGTGAAGCCAAGGGAGGCCTGGGCTCAGAGCAAACCCAAGGTGTGGCCTTCCGAAAGCAAGCACACATGCGGGGAATGGGAGGGAGGCCGTGTCTGCCATGGCAGACAGAACTGAAGCGCTGGTCTGCTACGTGGCTCCCGCAGATCACCTTCCATCTCACTCCCATGTCCCACATGCCTTAGGGGCCGGGGTGACCAGGAAGGCTCTGCTAACTGATCCCAACCTTTCCCCTCAGCTCTGGCTCAGATACCTGGGCTCTCCACCAAGCAGCCCTCCCAGAGCAGCCACGCGCATTCTGAAGTGTTCCACAGGCGTGGAGGCAACTGGTGTTCCCAGTAGTGCTGGGGCACCTCCTCCAGCACCACTCGGCACAGTGTGGGGCAAGGGTGGCCCCCACACCGAGTGCTCTGATTTTCCAGAGTGCTCGGGAGTAGGCCTGGCCTGCAGCAAGACCCCTCGGAAACATATGTAAACAGCACACTGGAAATCGCCTAGCTGAAGTTGGCTCTAAGTGGACAACGACATCCACTTGCTGTGATGGCCAGGCTGAGGCTGGCAGGGCGAAGGCACCTGACACAGAGCCTGGCACACAGCTTGTGCCTGGGTATCTGAGCAGGAACAGAGCATCAGTGCATGCCATCCTCAGGCAACTGTTCTGAGAGCAGCATCACTGTGAACATGTAGGCTTGGCAAGAAACCCTTCAGGTCTGCCACATTGATTTGGTCACAACACAAGCTATGCCATCAGATTCATACTCCCAACTCCCCCCTTATGAGCCCACGAAATGAGTTCAAAGCAAGTAGATGGGAGAAAATAATAAATTTCTGAGCAGAAACCAATGAAATTGAAAAGAAAAACAAAACAAAACAAAAATCAATGAGGCAAATGGTGAGTTTACTGAAAAGATCAAAGCAAACAAACTGCCGGCAAAAAGAGAAAGAAGACAGGTTCCCAATCTCAGGAAGAAACAGGTGGTCAGTGCAGGCTCTGCAGACACTGGAGGGTCAGGAAGGAAAGGCACAGCTGCGCACCTGGAGGGTCCAGCGGCCCCAAGCCCAGCCACCGTTGTCCCCATCCAGCCCCACCACTATTAAGGAGACTGAACTTATAATTTACAACTCCCCAAAAAGAACTCTACAGGCCTGCGCAATTTCCCTGGGGCATTCTATCGATCAAACATCTTAAGATGAAACACCTATTCTACAATCACTTCTGGAAAATAGAAGACAAGGAAACACTCCCCAATCCACCTCCAAAGCCAGACAAAGACAGTACAAAACCCAAAGCTAAGCCAGGCATGGCGGCACATGTCTTTAATCCCAGAACGCTGGGAGGCTGAGGCAGAATATCCTGAGCTGAAGATCAGCCTAGGCAATTTAGCAACTTAACGAGACCCTGTCTCAAAATAAGGGCTGGAAATATAGCTCACGAAGCACCTGCGTTCAATCCCCAGTACCAGACACACCAATATCCCTTATGAATAAAGACACAAAATACCTGACAAAATATCAGCAAACACCGTTCAGAATTATGTGCCCACAATCAATTTTATTCCAGGAGTGAAAGGCTTGTTCAATATTTGATTTTTCAAATTAATCCTAGGAATCTCCCATATTAACTGGTCAAAGAAGGATAATCCCATCATCATACTAACTGATGTAGGGAAAGCATCTGACAAAATTCAACATAATAAAAACTCTCAGGAAAATAGCAATGCAGGGGAGCATCCTCAACCAGATACCTGCATTGAGGGAACACCTCCACGGCAGGCTGAGCTGGAGCCCAGAAGGGTCCCCTAGGTCTGGGAGCAAGGCGAGCAGCCTGTTCTCCACACTCTTCATGCTAACAGTGGGCACACAGTGTACCAAAAGAAGCAAAGGCACTGGGACAGAAAGGAACAGCCCCTGCTTGCAGGGGACATGACCCTAAGAAGAGACCCAGAATAGCAAAAGGAATTCTAGGTAACAGAGATATGGCAGGGGGTATCATAACCCCCAGTGTGAAACTATACTACAAAGCTACTGTGATAAAAACAGCTTGGTACTGGCAAAGAAACAGACCCGAGGATCAGTGGAACAGATTAGAAGATAGAGAAACAACTCCAGACATACTCAGCCACCTCATCTTCGACAAAGGAGCCAAACACCCTCACAGAGGAAAGATAGCTTATTTAATAAATGGTGCTGGAAAAAATGGATTTCAACCCGCCAAAGATTAAAACTAGACCTATATTTCTCATCATGCACTAAACTAAAATCGAAATGGATTAAAGACCTAAATATTAAAACAGAAACACTAAACCGGCTGGAAGAGAGTTTAGGAAGAACTCTTGAAGACATTGGTGTAGGAAAAGATTTTATGAACAAAGCCTCAGTTGCTCGTGAACTAGCACAAACAATCAACAAGTGGGATCTCTTCTTACTAAAAAGCTTCTACACAGCATGAGAAACCACCAGCAGTGTGAAGAGACAACCCACAATGTGGGAAAAAATCTTCACCTGCTCTTCCTCAAAGGTCTACTATGTC